CTATTAGTGACTTGTCAGGCAATTACTTGAGACTTGGGGTGTTTTAATCCAGAATTCAAACACTTCAAAATGTTATGTACCTATTTTTTAGAGTAAAAAATACTCATATTAGTAACTTCAATAATAATGAAAATTCAAATACCAAATAGTTTCTCTGGTGTGAAAAACTACAATGGTACACAAGATCCTAATGATATAATTGACCATGTGAAATAGGAAGAAAAGGGCTAAAGGTGTAGGGAAAGTGGGAAGGGTAGGGGGTAGGGAAAAGTACACAAGACTAATGATATAATTGACCATGTGAAATAGGAAGAAAAGGGCTAAAGGTGTAGGGAAAGTGGGAAGGGTAGGGGAAAGGTAATAAGGGAGAAGAAAAAAAATGAGAAAAATGAAAAAAATGGAAATAAAGTGTTTGTAAATGGGGAGGGAGAAGGAGGTGAAGGGAGGGCAAAAGGCTCCTGAAAGGTAACTGGATTAGAGGGGCTTACAGCTACTCGCTGTTAGGAGGTGGGCTCTGGTCTGAAGAGATGAGTCACTGGGGAAAGTGACCCGGAAGGACGTATCACCCTCACTGTCTTCTCCCTGCTGGCTCTGCTTCCAGTGCACCATGAAATGAGCATCTTCCCTCTGCCCAGGCCCTTTCACCATGCCACCAATCACACAAGGACTGAAACCTCTAAACTACGAGAGGAAATAAACCTCTCTCCGTTAAATCATAGCTGTCAGGTATTGTAGCCCAGTGACAAGATAGTGAGCAAGACAGAAATTGGTACCAGAGAAGTGGGGTCACTGCTGTGACAAAAGCTGACCGTGTAGTTCAGATGCTTGCAGGAGGAGTTTGGAAAGATTTTGAGATGCTAACTGGAGAAGCAGCCCTACAACGCTGTAAGCCAAGATTCTGGATGGAGCTCAGAAGACTAGAATGCTGACAAACAGGGAGATAGTAATGACGAGGCTCAAGTTTCAGGTGGGAACAAGGACTCCACTGGCAGTTGGACTCCACTCTGGCAGACAATTTGTCTATATTTCGCTCATGTCCTGAGACTTTGCAGGAGACTGACATGAAGGGTGGAAGATTAATTAATCCAGCAGGCCAAATTCGAGGCTTTGGCATAGGTACTGTTGGGGGGCTTTTTTGCCAGGTTTATACTGAAAATAGGGAGCAAAAAGCCCACTATAAAAGTTTTCAGTTTCACCAGAAATTAAATACAGGCAAAGCTACAGTAGAGGAGAGCTTAGTTGCTGAAAAATTAGCATTAAAAAGAAGCCAAGTAATTTAGAACAGGACAATAAAAAAAAATGATGTGAGAGTATGTCTGGATCCAATAAATTCAAGACTTTCCTTTGAGGAGAGCCTCAGAGCATTCACGCTCCAGAAAGTCTGCCTAGGTAACTGGCTTCCCAGGATTTGTTCCAAAATGCTCACCTATCCAGGCACTAAGAGGCCTCAGCAACCATGATGCAAGGAGGCCTGTTACTACTTGAGCTGGCAGCAGACCTCAGGTCATCCACTTGGTCCTGGTTTTACAGGCACACAGAAGGCAAGGGTTGTGGAGTCAGGAAGCTTCTAGCCAGCTTTCAGAAGAAGGCTTAAGAAGACAAGCAGTATGCTCCTGAGAGGGCACTGTGTGTAGCTATAAGAGTGCAACCACAAGCAAAGTGGAGACCCCAGAAAGTTGGAGAAGCCAAACAGGTGGAATATCTAAGGAAAGTGGCAAGAAGCGAGAAAAACCAGCCCAAGAAAGAGGCTATGAGGGCTACAACCATTGGCAAAGCCATTGAGGTGGAACTACCCAAGCCATTTGGAATTCAAATCTTGCCACAGCTTGTTCTGAGTGCTGGACATGGAATTAAATGATTTAATGTTTATCCACCTAAGCTTTAGTCTTGCTTTCTTTTGCCATTCCTTTATTCCCCCCAGTTCTTCCCTTTTGGAATGGGAATGTCTACCCTGTTCCATTGTATGTCAGCAACATTTAATTTTCTTTTTTCTTTCAACAGGAGCTCACAGGTAAGAGTTTTATTTGAATCTCAGAGGAGACTTTGGACTAGACCTTTTCAGCAGTACTGAAGCTGTTAAAGACTTTGGCAACTCTTAGAGAGAGACTAAATGCATTTTGCATAAAGACATTCACATTCACATGAAATAGGGAAAAAAAATTCCAGAGGGGAAGGGGAAGTGAAGGGGTTGGGAAACAAAAGAAGGGAAAGGAATAAATATGAGAAAAGGAAAAAACAGAAACAAAATCTTTACAAATAGGAAAGGGTGGAGGGGTTGAAGGAAGGGCAGAGGAATGGGGAAAAAATAAGAACCAAGACACATCGTGTAAAGGTACAAATTCCCAACGATGAATGTCATCATATTGCATGCCTTAAATGTACCAATAAACAATGAATAAAAGAAAAAAGACATTCTCATGAGCCTTTTGGAGGCCAGGGAAAGAATGTTATAAACTAGATATCTCCCAAAAGCCTCATGTGCTCAGAGATTGGAGCTTTTAGAAAGTGATTGTATTATGAGAACATTAGAGCTGACTTACTGTTAGGAAATGGTGTCTGGTCTAAACAGCTGAGCTACTGGTGGCTTGATCTAGAAGGTCCTATCGCCTTCCCTGGTTCCTCCCTTCTCACTCTCCTTCCTACTTGCTATGAAGTAAGTGAGCAACTTTCTTCTGCCCAGGCCTTTCCACCATGCCACCAACTAGGCCAAGACTGTTCTTAAAAAAAACCCAAACAAACTCACTTTCCTTAAGTTGTGTCAAGCACTGTATCCCAGTGACAAGAATGTTGACTAAGAAGCTATGGGAGAATAATCTTGTTACTTAAAAGCAGAAAAATGCAAAACAAAAACATGTCTGCAACAACATGAAGAGAGAGAGTAAAACTCTACTAATGGGGATGACATGAAGATACCAGAAGTTTTTATTTGCCACAAAAAAAAAACCCACATATAGTAATGGTGAAAGGGAAAACCCTAAGGAAATGTACAAGATTATTATCTTTTATAATTACACTACTTGTATAAAGTGTCAATTACTAAAACCAAATTAAATGCACATCAATTCTATTCCACATAGTAAAATAAAGATGTTACAAGGAAAAGCAGAATAAAAAATAAACCAACTAATAATTATATTTCAAAGAACAGATGCAAACACAAAATGGTAAGAAATTAATAAGCCTATCTCCAAATGTAAAATTTCAGCAAGCAGAAAGTAAAACTTTCCTCTTTCTTCTAAAACAATACATTCCATTCTTTATTTCCCAAAATAAATGTTTCTATCCTGCTCTACATAATAAATTAAGCACATTCCCAAAAGAGATGACTTTAAATTATTTTAAATTTCAGATTAAGAATTCATTTTTCTATTTTCTGATTTGGTCAAAGGTCCTAAGGCAAAGCAAAGCATTAGTCAAGGGTCTCTGGCCCCAAACATTCAGCCACTTCATCAACACCCCTGGTGTGACATCCCTAGAACTACCACAACCACAGTCAGTATAACAACCAAAAGGAGAATGAAAAATGCAGGGGAATTTGTTCCAAGCCAAATGCTTGCACTGACCCCCTAAATACTACTCTTTCCATAGTTAATCCCACTGTGGAGCTAAAACAGAACAATCCTGGTTCCATGACTCTTGAATTGAGAAGTTCGTACCTCTTGAGATGGCAAACTTCAGAAATGCAAAATCTCAAGTACAGAATGTGCTCCTTTGGCACAATGGTCAATAATTACAAACACTTTCTATATTAAAGCAAATGCATGACGAAGATTAGAATCAAAAGTCATGTGAAGTTTTAAAATTGATTGTAAAGTCTATGCGCCACTTTGTTTAATTCCTACAAGAACCCTCTGGGGTTGGGATATTATCTCCACTACACAAGTGAAGAAACTGAAGCTTAGAGAAACCAAGTTAATTATACAGGGCAGATAATTAATTTCAGTGGTGAGACTAACACAAGAGTCTAGTTTCTAGAACACAGAACATAAAACATCATAAGGCCTACCAGAGTCAAACTGATTATGAATAAAGTAGACCTATAAACTGCTGAATAAGTGAGCTGGATATGGAAAAACAAGGGACTATGAGGCTGCTACTTCTTTCTTCCTGCTTTCTAGTTCCTGGAAAGCCCCACCCCTGGCACAGAGATATCCCTGTCATTTGCAGTGATGAGTTTCTGGTACTTCCAAAGCAAAAGAAAGACAATGGGCAACAAGGTGAAAAGAAAAGAGAGGTGAAACGCATGGTGTCCCCTGCCACTTGTTATTTTTGTTCAGATGTATATCTCTCTCCCACAAAGTTCAGAACTACAGAGAGAGCACATCTCATTCTCAGGTCCAGGGGCAGTTTCTGACTGATCAAGGTCAATCAGCTTACAACATCCCTGTGAACACTCTCGCTGGTCCAGGACAGAGCAGGTGACCTAAGCTGATTCAACTAGTCTCAGGTGAGAGTAGCTTTTTCTCCGTGTTCTCCCTCTCATGGCTTTTCCACACCAATCACTAAACATGGCAAAGAAATACATTGACCCTAATTCTCCTAGCAGCCCTGAGGAATCATTCATATTATATATATATATAAATT